TCCTCCCCAGAGATCCGATGCTGTGTTTTTTTCCATGCGCGGTCCCCGACAGTCTGGACCCATTCCCCAAGACCGATTTTTCACCCCGAGTCGCTTTTTGACGGTCCCGGGGCCCGGCGAGGGCCCCTAGAGGCCGACAACTGCGAAAAACCTCTGTCTTGATTTTTTCTATGCGTTGGATCTCTGGGTCCGCGCGTGGCTGACTCTGGGCCCCGGGCCGGGGCCCGCAACGGGCCTCTTGCGGTCGCCCAAACCTTGATGCGCCACGCTGGCGGCGCTCGCCGCTGCGTGTGAGGCGGCGGGAGCCTGCCGGAGGGCTCTGGAGGCCCCCGGAAGCTCCCCAAATCTGGAAACGCCCCTTCTCCTCATCCTTTTCGCCACAGCCTTTGTTGCAGTAGAAATGCAATAGAAATGCAGATCTAGGATTCTTACTATTACTACAACTATTCCGATTACTATTTCGATTGCCATGACTATTACAATTCGTATTCCTGCTTGCCGTAGTCGTGTTATGAATATTGTTACTCGTTACTATTATTGCTCCTATATTCAAGATTATTCGTACTGCTATGCATGTATGTATGTATGTGCATATATATATATATATATATATATATTCATTCATATCTCTACGACCACTCTTCAGGTGATGAGGAGGTTGGGGGGTGGGGGGAAACGAACCAGCTGCAGGCAAATGCGATGGGTGTGATGATGACAACGCTGGTGACGCGCCCTTGAGTCCGCGACGACGCGTGATGACGGTGTTGCGCTGAGATGTAATGTCACTATCGTCCCCGCTTTCGATCTCACTCGATCGATCCCACGATCGACCTCGCACGATCGATAACTCTCGATTGATTTCTCCTTTCTAACAAAAGAATAGGTTCTACCACCCTCCCACCCCCCGGACTTAAAGCTCCCCATTTTCGGATTGCAATTTATATATGATTCTGCCCCATCGTCCATCCAAAATATGAATTTACACTGTCCCAGGGGGGCCGGTATCGCCCCCCCCCTACCATCCTCTGCAAAACATACTATGAGCGCACACCCGTTTATCAAACATCATACGTTTCCAAAAATCCCTTGCAAAAGCAGAGACGAAGTGCACACGCGCGCGTCATCGCGCGCGCATGCCGAAATCTTCAAAAACCTTTGGTTTCGGAAGGATTTCCAAACCGAGCTTCTACAACACATACAAAAACACATGTTTTCGCAACACGAATTCTTTAAAAAGCTTACGCGCGCGCGCTCTCGCGAAATCTTAAGCAAACCATGTTTTTTGTTCAAAGAATTTCAAACCATACTACCAATCGTTCGAACGCCCTTGCGCGCGTGCCGTCGCGAGAATCCTCCGCAAACAGCGGGACGAAGTGCACGCGCACGCGTCGTCGCGCGCGCATGCCGAAATCCTTCAAACACATTTTCGGTGTCGGAAGGATTTCAAAATTGAGTGTCCCAAGAACATACAAAAACACAGGGTTTCGCAACACAGACTTTCAACAAAAACGTGCGCGCGCGCCCTTGCGTCGTCGTCGTCGTCGTCGTCGTCCCCTGTCTTTCCTCGTCGTCGTCGTCGTCCTCTTTGATGTCGTCGTCGTTTCCGTCGTCGTTGTCGCCGTGGACGTCCTTCCTCCTCCTTCGTCGTCGTCGTCGTCCGTCGTCGGCGTCTCGTCGTCTTCCCTCATATTTCGTCGCCGTCGTCGTCGTAGTCGTCGTCGTCGTCGTCGTCGCCGTCGTCGTCTTCCCTCCTCCCTCGTCGTTGTCGTCGTCGGCGTCGCCGTCCTCCCTCCTTCTTCGTCGTTCGCGTCGTCGCCGTCCACTCTCCTCCCTCGTCGTTGTCGTCGTTGTCGCCGTCGTCGTCCTCCCTCCTCCCTCGTCGTCGTCGTCGTTTTCGTTGGCGACGTCGTCGTCGTCGTCGTCGTCGTCGTCGTCGCAGGCGTCGTCGTCGTCGTCGGCGTCGCCGTTGTCGTCGTCGGCGTCGGCGTCGTCGTCGTCGTCGTCGTCGTCGTCGTCGTCGGCGTCGTCGTCGTCGTCGTCGTCGTCGAAGCCGTCGGAGACGTCGTCGGTGTCGTCGTCGTCGTCGGCATCGTCGTCGTCGTTGTCGCTGTCGTCGTCGTCGTCGTCGTCGTCGTCGTCGTCGTTGCCAAGTGCCATGTGGTACCTACCGTCACGGTCTTAAGAGGTCTTGCGACCACGTTGAGGGTGTGAGGGTGGGATGTTTGCACGAGCAGTGGAGAGGACAGCTACAGGACAGCCAAAGTGAATATCACTATAGATCTCACAATCGATCCCACTATCGATCTCGCTTTCGATCTCACGATCGACCTCACTGCCGATCTCACTTCTGATCTCACTATCAATCCCGTGCTAGCGATCTCATGATCGATTTCACTATCGACTTCACAATCGCTGCCAAGGGCGGAACGGGATACCAACGGGACACCACAGGACACCACGGACCCCCGAGCCTCCCGAGAAGGCCCGCGCCCCCTCCTCGCCTCCCCCCCCCCCGGGGCCCGCTGCCGATCTCGGGCCCCTCAGGGGCCCGCGGCGCCCACTGCCCCTCCCTAGGGGGCCGCATGCGAACCCTACCCCCTACCCCCACGATTTCTGGGGGGGAGGGGTCAGGTTCGCCTGTGGCCCCCGACCTCCCCTCGCTGCCCCCCCCCCCCTCGCTGGCCGCCGAGGGGAACCCCTGTATAGGGGAGCGCCCCGCCGCCCTGCCGGGCTTTGTGCAGGGCGGCGGCCCCCCGGGGGTGCGCGGGCGCGCGGCGACTCGAGCGCGGAGCGCCCACGCCGCCCGCCGCGCCCCGCGCGCCGCTGCGGGCGCGAATTCGGCGCCCCGGGAGCAGCAGAAGCGATCAGGAGGAGGAGGAGGAGGAGGAGACGAGAAGAGAAGGGTGGGAGGGAGGAGGAGGGAGGAGGAGGAGGGAGGAGGAGGGAGGAGGAGGAGGAGGAGGAGGAGGAGGAGGAGGGAGGAGGAGGAGGAGGAGAGGAGGAGGAGGAGGAGGAGGGAGGAGGAGGAGGCGGAGAGGAGGAGAGGAGGAGGAGGAGGCGGAACCCAGCGCGCTGGGAACAAGCATCGGCATCGTCCTCGTCCTCCTCCTCGCCCTCGTCCTCGTCCTCGTCCCTCCTCCCCCTTCCCCTCCTCCTCCTCCTCCTCCTCCTCCTCTCCTCCTCCTCCTCCTCCCCTCCTCTTCGTCCTCCTCTTCGTCCTCCTCCTCCTCCTCCTCCTCGTCCTCCTCCTCGTCCTCCTCTTCCTTCTGACCATAATCTCGAGGCGAATCTGGCGACGAGGACCTCTCAGGAGGCCTAGCAAGGGGAAAACGAGGGAGGGGTAGCGGAATGGGTACCTGTTCCTCCTCTGAAGTCCCCCTCCCTTCCTGAGCGGCCTCGTTCTTGATTGGGGGGACGCGGGGACGAGGGAGTGCCGCCTGCGAACGCCCAGGGCCCACCCCGCATGTACGAGGTGGGGGCGTATCCGCAGCCACCGCCCGGGGAACCGACGTCCCGGGCCCTCCGCGGACGGTGGACGGGGGCAGATGTTGGATCCCCGGGGCACGGCAGGGCGTGTCCAGATCCACCGTCTGCCGAAGCCCCCGAAGATCGATCCCCCATCCGGCTGCTAGTGGACAGATCTCGACGCTCCTCGGGCCGCGTGGCGGCGCCAACGTGCGCCTGTCCGCCAAGGCCCTTTATCAGTACGATGCAGACGGAACTGCGAAGGCCAACACAGGCTGCGTGCCATCGGCGGCGCCGAACGCGGTCAGTACACACTGGGCCAACACGCGTCCCGGGGATCCTCCTCCTCCTCCTCCTCCTCCTCCTCCTCCTCCTCCTCCTCCTCGTCCCCTCGGAGCCTTCGACCCCCCTCAGCCCTCCCGCCCCGCCCCGCCCAAATCCGCCCCAAATCCATCCCTCCTGGCCCGCTCTGCGGGGCGCAGTGGGCCGCGGGGGAGGGGACGGCGAGGAGGGGGCAGGCCTGCTCAGAGGGCGGCGGGGGCTTCACGGAGGCCCTCGGGGGCCTTCTGAGGAGCCGCCCCTGTCTTCGGAGGAGGCTCGGGTAGCTTCTCAGCAGGCGCGAGGGCTCCTGAGAGGCCCCACCGCCTTCTGAGAGGGGCCGCCCCCCTCACTTCCCCCCCTCGATGATCGCCAGCGGATGCCGCTTCTAGAGCAGACGCGGGAGCAGTCGCGAACCATCTTCAGCCTTCTGGGTGGCTCGGCGCTGTATGGGCAGGCCTTTGACCGAAGCATCTGATGTCCTTGGCAATGCAGTCCTCGCTGCGATTGCGCTTCGCCCAAGGCTCGCCGCCGATCAATCGACAGGCTGCCCCCGCGTTTGCTCTTGAAGCGGCATCCGCTGGCGAGCATCGAGGGGGGGGAGGTGCGGGGGGCGGCCCCTCTCAGAATGCGGTGGGGCCTCTCGGGAGCCCTCGCGCCTTCTGAGAAGCTGCCCGAGCCTCCTCCAAAGACAGGGGCGGCTCCTCAGAAGGCTCCCGAGGGCCTCTGAGGAGCCCCCGCCGCCCTCTGAGCAGGCCTGCCCCCTCCTCGCCGTCCCCTCCCCCGCGGCTCTCGCCGCCGGATGCTGTCCGGGGTTCGAATGGCGTCGGGGGCGTCGAGGAAGAACCAGCGGCATACACATCTACCCAGAGGTCCGATGTCTTGATTTTCCCAACGCGCGATCCCCGGAAGTCTCGACCCATTCCCCAGGACCGGTTTTTCATCCTGAGCCGTTTTTGGACAGGATCCCATGGCCCAGCGAGGGCCCCTAGAGGCCGAACATTAGGAAAAACCGCCGTCTTGATTTTTTCAATGCAGTCGCACTTCATTGGACAGGACACGCGAGAGGACAAAAGACCCTTCCGAGGGCCACATTGCCATAGGAATGCTGGAGGCATGGGTCGCGAGACACAGAACGCAAGGGCACCCTTGATTTGGCAGGGTCGACCTACTAGTCCGGGCCGTCTGTACGTTGGATCTCTGGCAATGCCCCCCGCCTCGCTCCCCCCCCAGGGCTCGCCGCCGAGCAGACGACAAAAAAAAACACGAGGGGCCGCCGGCGCAGCCTCACGCGCGGGGCGCCCGCCGGCGGAGCGCCTGCGGCAGCCGGAAGCGGCCCTTCTTGGGGCCGCCGGGGGCCCTCGGCGCGGCGCCTGCCGCGGCGCCTTGGGCGGCGGAGGGCGCCGTCGTCGGTCGTCGGCCGTCGGCCGTGCGCCGTCGTCCTCCCCCAAGGGGGGAGGAGGAGGAGGAGGAGGAGGAGGAGGAGGAGGAGGAGGAGGAGGAGGAGGAGGAGGAGGAGGAGGAGGAGGAGGAGGAGGAGAGGAGGAGGGGAGGAGGAGGAGGAGGAGGAGGGAGGAGGAGGAGGAGGAGGAGGAGGAGGAGGAGGAGGAGGAGGAGGAGGAGGAGGAGGAGGAAGGGGGTCTACGACGACCCTGGCCATGGAGATGACAACTCTGAGAAGTCCGGCAACTCCGTCAATTCCGACAATTCTACGACGACCCTTGTGTGGAGAAGACAGCAGGTGACCCGCTCCCCAACCCCCAAAGCTGCGAGCCGGTCGGCCAGCCGGCCACCCCGTATCGCGGACACGAAGATCCTGGCCACAGAAGCCCAGAACCTAAGTCTGCGTCAGCGCCCGTACGCGGCTTCCTCCGAGGCGCAAGGAGATAACATTACGGCGTGAACATCAATGGCGACTGCGATCACCGTGGGTCCCTACGGGGCTTCTCGCCCAGTTATGTTCCACATTACTGTCACAGGCAACGCGTGGGTCCCCGAGGGGCATTCTCACCCACAGCTTGTGAAGGCTCTACCAACCTCCACTCCCTACCGGCTCACCTTCTTGCAGCCCCGCCTCTCCCCGCTTTCATCCTACGAACATCCACATCTCCCCCCCTCTTGTGGTGGAGGGGGGGGTCGGTAAGCAGTATGGGTCTCGGGGGACAAAGAGGGCACTCGCCACGGGCCGCCCTGGCGAAGGTCTGGGCGGCCGTGGCCGCACTGCAGCAGGCTACCCAGCGAGGGTACCCACTAAAGGCCGCCGTTGTGAAGGCCCTAGGCGGCCGCGGCTACGCGGCAGCAAACTCAGGCGCTCACACCATTTCCGCACTCTCGCTCGCTGTAGGATCAGGCGCTCGCACCACTCCCACACTTCGCTCGCGCTCTCAGCTAACGGTGGGGGGTGGTTTAAGTATTGGGGGGAGAGGACGCGCCATTCCGTGCCACCGCCACGGATGGCGGAAACCACCCCCACGCACGGTGGAAACCTCCGAAACAGCCACCAGTCCCGTGCTCTGGGCACCCCACTTCTGCCTCGGCGGGGGAGGGCACCAGTCATGGGGATGGCGGCCGCCCTGGGGGGGATTCCTGTGTGTGTGTGTGGGGGGTGTGAGGCCTTTCTGCCATCTACCTTGGCGAGCGTGGCCGGCGCAGCCGCCGCGCAACCACCGGGGGAGGGCCCAAACCTTCCTCACGCTCAGTGGAACCCCCCAAGACGACCCAGAGGCCGACGTGCTGGGAACCCTGCGCCTGCTTGCAGGCGAGGGATCCCGCCGTCGGCCTCTGGGACGCCCGTTGGGGATTCCTATCGGCAAGGGGACGGGCCCTGGGGCCCCTTCCCGGCTGCAAGCGGCCCCCCCACAGAGGGCCCCGCGGAATAATCTCCGCACCCTGCCCCATTTAAGCCACTCACCGCCAACTCTACCGCCTTTTTCAGCCTCTCCAACCTCCCTGCCCAGTCCCGCCAGCTGCCGCCACGCTTCGGGAGCGGCCAAGAGGAGGGTGTCCAAGAGGGGGGGGTGCAAATCATGGCCGGCGGCATGTGCGCGGCCCAGCGGGGGGGCCGGGGACGTATTGAAATAAGAAGTGGCGCCATGAAATCTGGGGAAATATCATGGCCCCCGCCATGATATCCACCCCCCTTAGCCGCCCCCGAACGCTACAGCCCGCCACGCTGACCTTTGGTAAGGGAGCAGCCGTGGCATGTGCTGGCGAGGGCCACGCCAACAGCCGGCACCACTGCCGCCGCAAAGCAAGCGACAGCAGTCCGCGTCCAACCGCCACCGTGATTGGCGGGAGACCAAAGTGGGCACCTCAGAGGAGAGGGACCCAGGGCACCCTCCAGGGCGCTGGCCCAACCGGGCCAGTAGACCCGAAGGAGGGGAGACCCAACACAGGCCCACGGGCCTCCCACCTTCCCACACTACTGCCGCTACGCTACAGTCTGCCAGGCTGCAATACCTCACCCGCCCATCTTCGAGGTTATGATGTGATGCAGTGTTGTCTTCTGCAGGGTGTCTAGAACTCCGACGACTTTATTTCGGCACGGCACCGGTCGATGCAGCCCCCAGGCCCCCACCTCCCAGCGCGCCCCTTCCGCATCCACTTTCTAAAGCAGCCATGCCGAAGCAGCTCCTCGGTCCTCCGCATTCCTCCCCCGCCAGCCAGCGCAGCCAGCCCGCCAGCCAGCGCGCCCCCTCGGCACCAGTCCCACCAACCAGCGCGCCCCTTCCGCCCCGACCGCTTTATTTCGGCACGGCACCGGTCCCACCAGCCAGCGCGCCCCCCCTGCCACGACCGCTTCATTTCGCGCAGGCAGCCCGTCCGCCTCGGCCCCAGCGCGCCTCCTCGAGCCCCGACCGCTTTCTTTCGGCACGGCACCGGTCCCACCAGCCAGCGCGCCCCTTCCGCCTCGACCCTTTTATTTCGGCACGGCACCGCCCCCCCCTCCCCCACCAGCCAGCGCGCCTCCTCCGCACCGACTTCTTTATTTCGGCACGGCCTCGCCCCCCCTCGCCCGCCCCCCGTGCAGCCAGCCCCTCCGCCTCGACTCCTTTATTCTCTTGCACATGGTGTCTAGAGCTCCGACTTGTTGATTTCGGCGCGGCACCACCCCCCCCATCCCGCGCGCCACCTCCGCATCACCCCGCCCACTCCGCCCACCAGCCAGCGCGCCCCCTCTGCCCCGATCCCTTTATTTCGGCACGAACCCCCCCATCCGGCACACACCCTCCGCAATACCACACCCAGCAGCCAGCGCGCCCCATCCGCCCCGTCCCTTTTATTTTGGCACGGCATCGCCCCCAAATCCCGAACGCCCCCTCTGCATCACCGCACGTACCAGCCAGCGCTCCCCCTCCGCCCCGACCCTTTCATTTCGGCACGGCACCGCCCCCACGTCCCGAGCGCCCCCTCTGCATCACCCCACGTACCAGCCAGCGCGCCGCCTCCGCCCCGACTCCTTCATTTCGGTACGGCACCGCCCCCCTCCCATCCCGCGCGCCCCCTCCGCACCCCCTCACCCGCCAGCCAAAGCGCCCCGTCCGCCCTGACCCCTTTATTTCGGCACGCCCCCCCCATCCCGCGCGCCACCTCCGCACGTCGTTGTCCGTCGTCGGCGTCTTGTCGTCGTCCCTCCTATTTCGTCGCCGTCGTCGTCGTCGTCGTCGTCGTCGTCGTCGTCGTCGTCGTCGTCGTCTTCCCTCCTTCCTCGTCGTTGTCGTCGTCGGCGTCGCCATCCTCCCTCCTTCTTCGTCGTTCGCGTCGTCGCCGTGCTCCCTCCTCCCTCGTCGTTGTCGTTGTCGCCGTCGTCGTCCTCCCTCCTCCCTCGTCGTCGTCGTCGTCTTCGTTGGCGACGTCGGCGTCGTCGTCGGCGTCGTCGTCGTCGTCGGCGTCGGCGTCATCGTCGTCGCCGTCGTCGTCGGCGTCGTAAATCGTTGTCGTCGTTGCCGTCGGTGTCGGCGTCGTAATCGTCGTCGTTGTCGTCGTCGTTGTCGCTGTCGTCGTCGTTGTCGCCGTCGTCGTCGTCGTTGTCGTCGACGTCGTTGTCGTCGTCGAAGTCGTCGGTGTCGTCGTCGGTGTCGTCGTAGTCGTCGTCGTCGTCGGTGTCGTCGTCGTCGTCGTCGTCGTCGTTGTCGCTGTCGTCGTCGGTGTCGCTGCCAAGTGCAATGTGGTGCCTACCGTCACGGTCTTAAGAGGTCTTGCGACTAAGTTGCGGGTGGGGGGGTCAGATGTTTGCACGAGCAGTGAAGAGGACAGCTTCAAGATAGTCAAAGTGCATTGCGCAACGTAGATTGCACCAACACAAAGATTGCATCATAATCGCTGCGCATCCGAAGTTTTACCACCTATATATTGCACAGTATATATATATATAAATATCACCACGATGCAGATTACACAAAGTGTGTTCCGCAGCATATATTGTACCACCTAGAGAGCACTGTGTATATTCTCCTTTCTTACAAGACAATGGACTCACCCCCCTCGGGATTACCGATTCCCTTTCCGTGTTACAATTTGCATATGATTCTGCCCCATCGCCTATCCTAAAAATGAAACTACACCATCCCAGGGGGGCTGGTATCCGCCCCTCCCCCGCCATCCTCGAAAAAACAAGTACGCACGCTCACTCATTCATCAAAACCATCAATTTTCAAGAGTCACTTGCAAAAAGACGGGACGACGTGCGCACGCGCGTGCCGGAATCTTTCAAACCCTCCTCCAGTTTCGTGCAAAGTTTAAAATCGAGTGTCCAAAAAAACACATAAACACACCGCCTTTCCCAACACGGATTTTCTAAAAAAGCTTGCGCGCGCGCTCTTGCGAACTCTCACGGGAACTAAAAGTTTTTCATCATATTCAGAAAATGCTACGCGCGCGCATGTCGAAATCGTTGAACGTCCTTGCGCGCGTGCCGTCGCGAGAATCCTTTGCAACAAATGGGACGAAATGCGAGCGCGTGCGCGTCGTCGCTCGCGCATTGCGAAATCCGTCAAACACCTTCGGTTCCGTAGCGATTTCAAAACCGAGTGTCCAGCAAATATACAACATCACATCGTTTCGCAACATCGGTTTTCAAAAAAGCGTGCGCTTTTGTTAATTCTTGGGAAAACGATCGGGTTTTCAACATTTTCATTAAACTCTACCAAACAAGCCTCTCGCGACGCATGCCGAAATCAGTCGAGCGCTTTTGCGCGCGTGCTGGGGGGGCACGATCGTCTTGCTGAAGAACACAACCAGTCTCGCATATCATAGGTTGCACCACGTAGTGTGCACTACATCCACGACGTGGCACAGATAGCGCCACATACACTGCACAACGTCGTTCGCACAGCATATCTAGTGCTAGAGTCACACGGTTTTTGGCCCACGCTGGCCAACAAACATATCTGCATGCATGTATCCATGCCGACTTCTCTGAACGGCAGCGATGGCCGGGCCCCGCCTGGTGCAGCAGGCGGCCCGCTGGCTGCTGGGGCCAGCCATCCCTTCCGCAGCGCGGCCAGCTCCTCCTGATGCTCCAGCCTCACCCTCTTGTGCTCTGCGGCCTCAGCCTGGGCCGCGGAAGCGCGAAACTGACAACTCGCCGTGTCGTGCCGGAGCTCGGGGGCCGAGGCTCCAACCGGAATCGGATCGGGAACCCGTTCGGGAGTCGGATAGGGATGGAGCCAGTCTTGGGTTCGTGTTGGCTTGGAATCGGGATCCCATGCCGCCAGAATTCCTTCTTCGAGCACTTTCGGGCTCTCTTCGGGACCCCTTCGGGCTCCCTTCAGGGTCCTTTCGGGGCTCCTTCGGGGCCAAGGTGCCTTCGGGCTCCCTTCGAAGGGGCCCCGTCGAGGTACTTTTGGGACCCCTTCGGCCCCCCTTCCTCTCGGGCCCTTTCCAAAAGAAGGGGAGGAAGGCGGGGATGAGGAGGGACAGGAGGGAAGGAGGAAGGGAGGGGAGAGGGAGGAGGAGAAGGAGGGAGGGAGTAGGTAAAGGAGGGAGGCATATTGGGAGGGGGCAGAGAAGATAATATACAGATCGGGCATCGGAGAGGTCGGAAAGCGAACGCGCCAGGCACTGGAGCCAGTATGCGAAGGAGGAAGGCTTCTTTAGCAACACGGAGCGCGGTCGAGACGCGGTCACTCAACGCACCCAACAGAACAACAACATGGGCGCACAGACAAACTCATAACACAATAGTTCGGAATCGGATTCGGATCGGAATCTCGCAGAATCGGATCGGAATCTCATGGATGATTCGAGTGGCCTGAGCCAGAAACATCGAATCGGTTCCGGCGAGCTGGATCGGAGAACATCGAACTGATAACGATAATCGAACTGATGACGTTTCGAACTGGTGACGTTACGTATTTTCGATGTGAACGGATCTGGACAAAAAACCGTGGAGTCGACACAGACCCTGGACTGCTGAAACAATCCCGACGTTCTGCGGCCATGGACTGCAAGGCGGAACCCTCGGCAACCCTAGTTGCTCGAAAGATGCCGTGCCAGGACGACGACAAGACCTCCGTGACTCCTTCGCACGAGCGCGGATGTGAAGATCAGAGCTCCTGGCGATCGTGTGTCCAGCAGCGCAAGGCGCAGCACACACACTCTCATGGTCACCATCGTTGCTGCCATGGCGCCTTGCTCATCGTGAGAATTGCTCTTGCCTGACCGTGCCGATTCTTTTTCACCCGTCTATTGACTCTGTCTGTCTTCCAAGCTCTGTCTGCGCCCTGATCAATCAATGTGTCTGTCTGTGCCCACGTTGTTTGTTGTATGTTCATGATCTAGTCGTCTGCATGTAGCCGCCTCTCCGTCTCTATCTCTATGTCGCTTCATCTCTGCCTCTCTGCCTCCGTCTATCTGCCTATGGTTCTCGAAACGTCCCCGTCTATTCAGTTGTGCCTGCCTCTGTCTCTGTCTCTCTCTCTTTCTCTTTCTCTCCCACCTGTTGATCCCTGCATCTTTCTCGGTCTCCCTGCCCGTCTCCTCACGGAACGCGGCATCCGACACCGTGCCCCCTGGCACGCGGGGGCGTGGCAGAACGGGAGAGGCTGGCCGGGAGGGCTCCTGCTCACCGTCGGATCCCCCAGCCCCTTCCCCCGCACGATGCGCCACCTGCACCCTGGGCGGCGCGACGCCTCCCTGGGGCTCTCCCTGGGGCTCTCCTGGGCTCTCCATGGCCTCCGAGACAGCCCAGGCAGGCCACCAGGTCAGCCACGATGGCTCCACACTGCCTCACGAAGAGCCTGGCAACCCCCCAAGAAACGCCTGAGAGGTCCTACGAGGCCTCCAGGAGGCGCCAAGGCACCCCCAAGACGCTCTCCAGGAGGGCTTCGAGAGATCAGACACATGGACCGTCATAGGGACTCAAACTTGTGTTCGCTTCCCACGCTCTCCGGTCGAAGATGGGTCCGCTTGCGGCCCGGGCAACCACAGCACGGCCCAAGTGGTCCCCGACTGATCCACAGAACGCTCCCCCTTCTTCGGTCGAACATCGCTTCGAGTGCCCAGGAGAGTGCCCAGAAGAGAGGAGCCCACCAGGAGCCCACCAAGTGGGAGGCCCCTGAAATCAACGACAGATCGGCGAGAGATCGGCGGTAGGACCCGGCGACTGGCTCGGAGGGTGGTGGGAGGAGGAGGAGGAGGAGGAGGAGGAGGAGGAGGAGGAGGAGGAGGAGGAGGAGAGAGGAGGAGGAGGAGGAGGAGGAGGAGGAGGAGGAGGAGGAGGAGGAGGGAAGAGGAGGAGGAGGAGGAGAGGAGGAGGAGGAGGAGGAGGAGGAGGAGGAGGAGGAGGAGGAGGAGGAGGAGGAGGAGGAGGAGGAGGAGGAGGAGGAGTGAGGAGGGAGGGGAGGAGGGAGGAGAGAGGGAGGAGGGAGGAGGGAGGAGGGGGAGGGAGGGAGGGAGGAGGGAGGGAGGGAGGGAGGGAGGGAGGGAGGGAGGAGGAGGAGGAGGAGGAGGAGGAGGAGGAGGAGGAGGAGGAGGAGGAGGAGGAGGAGGAGGAGGAGAGGAGGAGGAGGAGGAGGAGGAGGAGGAGGAGGAGGAGGAGGAGGAGGGAGCCCACCAGGAGGCCGTCGAGTGCCCAGAAGAGAGGAGCCCACTGGGAGCCCAGGCGCCGCCTTCGGCGGCTCAACCCTGGGGCGCCCCGCGCCCCGGGGTTGGGTTGCGGAGGCCGCCCCGGACAGCGCGGGGGCCCCCTTGAGGCCAGGTGGGGCTACTGCGGGGGACCTGCTGAGGCCAGCCTTGGGCTGCTCGGGGGGGCTGTCTTGGCGCAGCCCGAAGCTCATGATCAACCCCGGCGTTGGTTCCTGACACCGCGTGGGTCGTTCATATAGGGGAACGGAAAATCACATAAGCATAAATACTCGGAGGTCCGCGCGGATCTCTCGGATCGGCGCTGGGCCTCCCCGGCGGCGCCTCCGGCGCCGCCCCTGGCGCGCTCCGCGCGCCAGGGAGGGGGGTCCAGCGCCGATCCGAGAAATCCGCGCGGACCTCCGAGTTTTTATGTTTATGCGGCTTTTTGTTTCCCCAGTTCAGCCTTCAAGGGTCGGCGGCTTGTCGATCGCCAGGCCGTTCCATCCTGGCGGAGTCCCGGCCGCTGGTTGCGTTCAACCTTGAACGCCCGCGCTGGGGTCGCCGCCGCGTGGACACGACGCGAACCTACCGCACGATGCCCTGGCGGCGTCGGGATGGAGAACGTCGGGCTCCGATTCGCGTTCATCGCCGGCCAGGGCCTCTGAAACCAGGACGTTGCAGACCAAAGTTTTGAAACTCCCATTTGGAGAAAAAACAATGGGTCGAGTTTCGATCGCTAGCTGCAATTCTCTTGGGTGCGCCAATGTCCTGGCTTGTCCAGACAAAGCTCCGTTTACGTGGTCCTGTGCCGATGCACTGGGGCTTGCTCCAGCCCCACTTGAAAAGCGTGTGCGAGGGGGCGTCGGGCAGGACCGTCGATAGAAAGGCCCAGGGAAGGGGGCGGAGGCGCCCAGGTATCGAGGAATGGGCCCGGCGACGGGGCGGAAACCAGCTGCACGCAGCAGATTTCGTACCCCCCTTTCCCTATCCTACCCTTTCGTCCGGCCCGACAGGCAGGAGAGCCCAGAATCGAATCGATGAGTCGGATCGGCGATCGAAATGAATCGGATCGGCGGAACTCGGCAGCCGAGTCGGGAAAAGTCGAATCGGTAGAAATCGGCAGCCTAGCTTGTGCGTCCAATAAAAGAAGCCGGAGCCCAAATCGGAATCCGAACTGGAACCGAATCGGCATCGGAAGCAGCCGAAATCGGATCGAAAATCGAGCCGGGGGAACACAGGAGGAGCCGGATCGGATCGAAAATCTGCTGATGATGCTGCTGACGATGATGAGGAGGAGGCGGCACGAGGAGGAGGAGGAGGAGGAGGAGGAGGAGGAGGAGGAGGAGGAGGAGGAGGAGGAGGAGGAGGAGGAGGAGGAGGAGGAGGGGGAGGAGGAGGGGGAGGAGGAGGAGGGAAAATCGAAAATCGGATCGAAAATCAAAGCGGATCGAAGCGTGCCCTTGGCACGGGAGGGGCCGGCGCAGGTCCACGAAGAGTGCGCGCGGAGCGCCGAGCGCCCACGGCAATGCGCGCTGCCACGGGGGCCGAGCGCAGGGGGGGGGCTCTGGCCGGCTGCGGCGGGCCTCGGCCACGAGCAGGGCCTCCCGACCCGGAAACCAGAGGCCCTCCTGGGCACCGACTCCTGGATGGTCAAAAAACATATTCACAAAATCGTCCCCGTACTATTTCTGGACAGTTTTTGCAGATTCCTCCTGTAAGGGACAGGCCCTCCTGGGCACCGACTCCTGGATGCTTAGCATTCGGTCGGGCGTGTCCCCCTACAGAGGGGATTTTGGGGCGAAACAAATTATCCCGGCAAAGCAACCTAACAGCGATATGTAGAAGCATATCTGAAAGCATTCCCCTTAAGATTCAGATGAAAATCCAGTTGTAGAATTCTGCTGTTCTCGCAGTCGTAGTCGCATTCGCGATGACAGTCGCAGCGGCAACGGCAGTCGCAGTCACAGCCTCAGCCTCAGCCTGCCTCAGCCTCAGCCTCAGCCTGCCTCAGCCTGCCTCAGCCTCAGCCTCAGCCTGCTTCAGCCTCAGCCTCAGTCTGCCTTCAGCCTCGGCCTCAGCCTCAGCCTGCCTCAGCCTCAGCCTGCATCAGCCTCAGCCTCAGCCTCAGCCTGCCTCAGCATCAGCCTGCCTCAGCCTCAGCCTCAGCCTGCCTCAGCCTCAGCCTCAGCTGCTTCAGCCTCAGCCTCAGTCTGCCTTCAGCCTCGGCCTCAGCCTCAGCCTGCCTCAGCCTCAGCCTGCCTCGGCCGCAGCATCAGCCTGCCTCAGCATTCAAAATGTGGCCCAGGAATGGAGTTCTGGGAACTAGAAGAACACGAAGTGGCCTACAGTTGGCTCCGGGCATTCAAAATGTGGCCCGGGAATGGAGTTCTGGGAACTCGAAGAGCACGAAGTGGCCTACAGTTGGCTCCGGGCATCCAAAATGTGGCCCGGGAATGGAGTTCTGGGAACTCGAAGAGCACGAAGTGGCCTACAGTTGGCTCCGGGCATTCAAAATGTGGCCCGGGAATGGAGTTCTGGGAAGTCGAAGAGCACGAAGTGGCCTACAGTTGGCTCCGGGCACTCAAAATGTAGCCCGGGAATGGAGTTCTGGGAGGTCGAAGAGCACGAAGTGTGTGACTGTTGACGAAAAACGAGCCCGGCTCTGTTCCCGGTTCTCCAGAATGTGGCCCGGGAATGGAGTTCTGGGAGGTCGAAGAGCACGAAGTGTGTGACTGTTGGCGAAAAGCGAGCCCGGCTCTGTTCCCGGTTCTCCAGAATGTGGCCCGGGAATGGAGTTCTGGGAGGTCGAAGAGCACGAAGTGTGTGACTGTTGGCGAAAAACGATTCCCGGTTCTCCTCCCCGGCACCCGCCCAGACCCCCCTGAGGAGTCATGATGCTCTCTTTTGACTCTACGAGAAACCTATCAGCAAAAGTTGTTAGGTAAAATTATCCCGGCAAAACAACCTAACAGCGATGTGTAGGAGCATATCTGGAAGCATTCCCCTTAAGATTCAGATGAGAATCCAGTTGTAGAATTCTGCTGTTCTCGCAGTCGTAGTCGCATTCGCGATGACAGTCGCAGTGGCAACGGCAGTCACAGTCGCAGCCTCAGCCTCAGCCTGCCTCAGCCTCAGCCTCAGCCTGCCTCAGCCTCAGCCTGCCTCAGCCTCAGCCTCAGCCTGCTTCAGCCTCAGCCTCAGTCTGCCTTCAGCCTCGGCCTCAGCCTCAGCCTGCCTCAGCCTCAGCCTGCATCAGCCTCAGCCTCAGCCTCAGCCTGCCTCAGCATCAGCCTGCCTCAGCCTCAGCCTCAGCCTGCCTCAGCCTCAGCCTCAGCCTGCTTCAGCCTCAGCCTCAGTCTGCCTTCAGCCTCGCCTCAGCCTCAGCCTGCCTCAGCCTCAGCCTGCCTCAGCCTCAGCATCAGCCTGCCTCAGCATTCAAAATGTGGCCCGGGAATGGAGTTCTGGGAACTCGAAGAACACGAAGTGGCCTACAGTTGGCTCCGGGCATTCAAAATCATGCCCAGGAATGGAGTTCTGGGAACTCGAAGACACGAAGTGGCCTACAGTTGGCTCCGGGCATCCAAAATGTGGCCCGGGAATGGAGTTCTGGGAAGTCGAAGAGCACGAAGTGGCCTACAGTTGGCTCCGGGCATCCAAAATGTGGCCCGGGAATGGAGTTCTGGGAGGTCGAAGAGCACGAAGTGTGTGACTGTTGGCTCCGGTTATTCAAAATGTGGCCCGGGAATGGAGTTCTGGGAGGTCGAAGAGCACGAAGTGTGTGACTGTTGGCTTAAAACAAGCCCGGTTCTGTTCCCGGTTCTCCTGCCCGGCACCCGCCCAGACCCCCTGAGGAGTCATGATGCTCTCTTTTGACACCACTAGAAACCTATCAGCAAAAGCTGTTAAGTAAAATACCCAAAACAGACCCCCTACGGTCAAAACGTAGTTACTCACAAAATCGTCCCCATACTATTCCTGGACTATTTTTGAAGATTCCTCCTGTAGAGGGACAGGCCCGACTTCAACTTAGCATACCGGGGAAACGGGTCCTGAGGGAAACAGGTCCTGAGGGAAGCGGGTCCCGAGGTTTTTTTTGCCGTTTTCGGGCTCTCGGGGCTCGCCATCGGCCCCAAGGCCGTCAGAAAAGCGACTCAAGATGAGACGCGGGTCCTGAGGGAAACGTGTCCTGGACTCTGGGGCCTTTCTCCCAGGACGGGCTTCGCACCCTGCGCCATTCTTTAACAATTCTGGGGCCCGTGGAGGGCCCCGAGGGCCCGACAGTGTGGACAAAACTGAAGACCTGGTTCCCTCAGGACCCGTGACCCAAAGCGGCCCTCGTTTCAGCGCCTTGTCTTAAAAGAAGAACAAATCACTTCAACGTAAACTTTTGGCGCTCGGCGCGGAGTTCTTGGATGTGCGCTGGACCCCCTCCCCTGGCGCGCTCCCGAGGTGCCGCCGGGGGGGCCCAGGGCGGATCCGAGAAATCCGAGCGGAGCCCCAACAGTTTATGTTTATGTTTTTTCTCTTCTTCGATGGCTGCAGGTTTGTGACATGTTCTCTTCCTCGAGGTTCTGCCGGCAGTGGCTGGAGCCGGCGAGCGGAGAGCGAGACGCGGGAACCTGCAGGGGGGGTGGGCGCGGCAGCGTCCGCGGGGCCTCGAGCTTCGCCACCTGCTCCCGCAGGTCCTGGTCGGCCCAGGGTTGAGGCGGTCCACGGAGCGTGGGTCGCGGGGGGGGGGATGATGATGATGCTGATGATGATGGTGATGATGATGACGATGATGATGATGACAGAGATGATGATGATCCACGCGTCTAAGGAGGTCAGGAGCTCCTAGCTCGTACTGCCCCTCGGGCCGAAGCGTTTCCTTCTGGCCCTGCGGCGGCAACTCTCGGTCTCGTGCGTCTCAGCGCACCCTCGCAGATTCACAAGAGTGCCAAAAGGCCGCCCACCGCCCCAGCCGAAGCAAGCGGTAGTACGGCATCCGAGCAGTCACGGCGACTCAGCCCGCAACAGCAGCACACGCGCGCCAACGCAGAGCAACGCAGTCCCCAAGGCTCCTGGCCGCCCACTGGACAACCTTGCTCTGCGACGGCGTTCGGAAACGATCCAGAGAGTCGGTAGCAAGCCACCTACCCCCTCGGTTCGGCCTCCGCCATGGCGCGAGAACAGTGCACAAGACAGGCGGGCTGGTACGCAGCAAAGCTGCAGTACGCAAGCGCCACTTGACGTGCCAAACGGCATGGACAGAGCAGCGCAGCGAGCCCAGGAGGGGCAGGAGTGAGTGAACCCTGACGTGTGCCGAGCCCCGAGGGGCACGGCCTACGCCACGAGCACGCGGCGCCGCGCTCGGCTGACCGATGGGTCCCGAGCCGCAGAGTGCCACCACTACATTAAGGCAGATGCCGCGCGAGCGCGGCAGAAGAAATGTGAGAAAGTTGTCGGGACAGATCGCGCCCGTCAGCGCCTGCCGCGCGCCTCGCGGGCTGCGCGCAGCTTGGCGCCCAAGGCGGCGCGAACCCCATCCATCAGCCCGACGTATCTGTCCCGCAGCGCCACGAGCTCCGCCCGCTCCGACGGGAACTGCTGCTGCTCCTCGGGCTGCTCGGAGCCGCGCTGCCGGGTGACGTCGGACTGCTGCTCGGAGGCCGCCAGGGTGTCCACGCGCGTCGGCGTCTCGGCGAGAGCGGGCTCCGATGCAGCCTTGTCCTGGGCCTCCGACTCCTGCTCCTGGGCCCGCTGGGAGTCCGCCCACGTGCACTCCTCCTCGAAGTGCGCTTCCCTCGCGGGGCCCGCGGACCGGATCCCGACCTTCTCCTGGAGGTCCTGCTGTGCAACACCTGGCTGCATGCGCCCGTCGTGCTTGACAACGTACTCCGACGGGTCGCTGCCAAGCGGCTCATCATCTGCAGCCTCATCATCATCGGCCGAGTCCCTCTCGCACTCCCCCCCCTTTCACCGCCATGGTCGGCGGGCAGGCGCTGGGCGCCTTCGGGCCGCCATCCCGCCCGAGCTCCTCGAGCCTCCACTGCCACCGCTGCGCGCCAGAGGCGAGGGGTGGAGGAACCGCCTCAGGCGCCGACCGCACACGATCCGCCAGGACGAAGGCGGTGCCGCGGGTCGCGGCCGCCCCCCGCCTCGCCGCCGTTCTCCACGCTGTGCACGTGGCGGGCTCGGATGCCTCCGTCGCCTTGGGTGCCCGTGTGCTCGCCGGTACGGCGGCCGACGCCGTCGGTCCCTCCCGCGTGGGCCGACGCCCGCGCCTCCGCCGCCGCCTGGCCGACTCTGGTTTGGCGGGGCTCGACGCCGCGCCAACGCCAGCGCTCAAGTTCGCGTCCGTGCACTCCTCGTACTCGCCCTCGTCCTGCACATCGCTCGGTTCGTCGTGCTGGGTGCCGCGGGGCGCCTGCGCCTCGCCCGAGCCGAGACCGTCCTCGCCCGTGCAGGCGTCGCCGAGGGTGTCGTCGTCGACGTGCCTGGAGTCATCGTCCTGCGCTCCGTCGCCAGCGCACGCCGAGCTCGGGCTTGGCCTCGAACCTGGCCTCATCGGGCCCGCGATCGCTGTCGTAGCCCTCGAGCTCGTCGTCGCCGACGCCGTACTTGATCTCGTACTGGTTGTGCAGCTGCACGTGCTGCTGCTCGTCCACGTGCTGCTGGTGCCCGTCATCGTCGTTCTTCGCATCGCCATTGTAGCCGCACTCGTCTGTGGGCGGCGCCATGCTCTGGCGCCTCGCCTCCAGGCTGGGTCGCCATCCCGCCTCAGGGGGAGGACAGCTTGGAGCCCCCAGATCCTTTGGGGCGAGGGAGCCAGACCGCCCACGGCGCTGGCTGGCCTGCGGCCGCTCGAGCGCGGCCTCGAGGACCTCGGCGCCTTCGCCGAGGAAGGCGTGGGCAACGAGGTTCCGCGTCGCCCGCTCGGCGCCCGAAGCCCTCTCGCCGCAGATCAGGCGCGCCAGGGCTGGCCTGATGGCCCGAAACCGCAGGGCGAGCTCGGCGTCCTCCTCATCGCCAGCTCCATCTGCAGCCCAGCCCCCGATCAGCTCAGCTCCGACGCGCGCCGCGGCGGCCACGGCGGCCGCGATGCCGTGCCTCGCAGCGCCCCCCGCTGCCGCGCCTTCGGCTGCCGCTCGAACCAGCGGCGCCAGGGCGGCAGCAGCGTCCAGCGCCGCCATGAATGCCCGAACAGCGCGGGGCTCGAACGGGCCAACTAAGGAGGAAATAGCCCGAGCAGCGCGAAGCTCGAACGGGGAAACCGCTGCCACACCGGCGTGGCTGCTTGAGCCAAAATGCTTACGGATGATGATGATGCTGCTGCTGATGATAATGATGCTGCTGATGCTGCTGATGATGATGACGATGATGATGATGCTGCTGTTGCTGATGATGATGATGATGATGCTGATGACGATGATGATGACGATGATGATGACGATGATTTTTTTGACATCAACTCATCTCCCTCTGAGTCAGACCCCGAGCGCCACGAGCTCCGCGAGCTACAGCACCACGAGCAACGCGAACACCGGACCTCCGAGACGGCGAGCAGCAACGACGGGGGGTACAGCTCGCACCGCACAGGCGCCCGCGGGCTTCCAGCACCGCATGCCGCAAACGCCTCCGCGACGTCGTCAACGCCGACGCCATCCGTGAGGAGGACCACGGCCTCCCTCAGCAAGCCCGCCGCCACGCGCGGCAAGCTCCCGCTCCATGAGCCCGACCATGGTGTGCAGCTCGGCGTCACTGAGTGGCGCGTGGTTCGTGATGCGGTGGCCCAAGCGGCTCGAGAGGTCGGCGGCGCGCTGCGCGAGCTGAGCACGCGCATCGCTCTTGTCCTTGCCCGCGCCGCCCTTGACCTTGCCCTTGTCCCTGCCTTTGCCAGAGCCAAAGCCGCCCGCGCGGCGAGGACGCCCATGCACGATAGGCAAGGCATCCGCCCAATTGTCGGGCGGCAACTCCATGGCGACGTCGACGGCCCCCTGCGCCGCCGCCGCCCCTGCAGCCGCACCGCCATCCATCTCCGCGACGATGGCCACCTCCTCCTCCAGGGACTTCTCCTCCACGACGTCCATCTTCTCGTACTGCTCGTCCGCCTCCTTCAGTCCTCCGCGGCCGCGCGGGCGTCGGCGCCGCGGCACCTTCGGGGGGCCCCCGTGGTCGACGGCGGGGGAGGCGGGCGGCGTGCCGAGCTCGGCGACCGCCGTGCGGAGGAGCCCCTCCGCCGCCCGCAGGAGCCGCGCCGCGGAGCGCAACCCTCCCGCGGTGGCGAGCCCGGCAGCGGCGTGGACCGCCAGGACGGCCCCCCTGGAGGCCTCCAGCGCGTTCGCCGTGCGGGCGTCCTTCGCACCCGGCATCTGGGCGCGCGGCGGCGGGGCCTGCGAGCGCGCGACCGTGAGCCAAAAAGGGTACTTGATGATGACGAGGAGAAGGAGGAGGAGGAGAAGAAGGAGGAGGATAAGGAGGAGGAGGAGGAGGAGGAGGAGGAGGAGGAGGAGGAGGAGGAGGCGGGGGAGGAGGAGGAATGAGCAATGAGCAATAAACAATGAGCCATGAGACATGCGCAGAGAGTGCAATTCTCCTTGTCCTGCGCATTCCTCAAAGCTCAACCCGAAGTAGCTACAAACTCTGCGGGAGGAGGTAAAGGAGGCGGAGAGGGAGGAAGAGGATGATGACAAGGATAAAAAGGAGGAAGAGGAGGAGGAGGAGGATGAGGAGGAAGAGGAAGAGGAGGAAAAGGAGGAGGCATGGCAGGCCACCACTGCTGTCTACCCCCCCCCCCCCCCGCGACCTGCAAGCATAGTTGTGGCGCTGGTGAGCGTCTGAGATGCTCAAGGTCTGGAGGCCGAGGCCACTTCCGGGCTCTGGGACCGTCGGAGAACATCTCCAGGATGAGGAGCCGCCTTCTGGCGGCTTTCACAAGGTGGTTGGGGAGTTGGGGAAAGCTTCTCAGGAGGCTGCTTCTTACAAGGCACCGGCCCTGCAGCTATGTACTAGGCCCGCGCCTCTCCTTAGAAGGAAGCTATTTCTTAGAAGGCGCCGGCCCTATAGACAAGGCCCGCGCCTTCTAAGAAAAAGGGATGCTTCTAAGAAGCCTCCCCCCCTTCCTCCACCCCCCTCTTCGCGTGGCCGAGAAGGGGTCGTGAGCTCCAAAGGCCAGCGCATCGGAAAACCATCGGTGTGGATGCTGTGTGGCTGCGACCCTTGAGTTCCAACGCCGCTTGTGGAGACGGGGTCTGGCAGTACCAGCCTCACAGCCGATCCCTGAATACATCGGCTCGCGAGCATGTCTGAACAATAATCTTTGCCAGGTGACTTGAACCCTGAAGACTAAGAATCCGAAACCCCAGGCCCAGAATGTCATCCCCTCCCAGGCCAAGAATAGCTTCCTCCCAGTCCCCACCTCCTCCCACTCCTCTTTTGACTGGGGTGCTCTTGGGGACGGGCCTCTGGACCACACATCACCTTGGCAAAACTGGTCAATCCTGCTCTCGCACGGGCTTTCCCGTGTACGGATTCTTACCGTCCAGGATTCTATCACGATAGAGCTTCCGCCTCTGATGGGCGACAATACCCTTCTTCAAAGGGCCCTCGCTTTCCCGCAACAACTTCTGGGCTCGGGAACGGGCGAAAGCCCCACAAATTCGGCACACAGCATATCCCACCTTCTCAACCACTTCGTGTTCCCGAGGTGGGGGTGGAGGTGAAACCTGGGACCCAGACCCCCTCGCTGCCGCAGCCCTCTCAGCCGCAGCTGCACGGATCTGGTCCGTCAAACAATCACCGTGGACCAGGGCCTTGACTTTCAAACGGGCCCTGCCTTTTGAAATGGCTCCCCCCCATCCTGGGCACAACTCCCGCTTGGCCATGCTGAGACGAGAGGCCACGCGGACGAGGCGAGAGCAATCCAGACACTGCCACTTACCACCTTCAAGGAGCCTAAAACGATGGGCCCGCTCAGGCGCGACTGCCAAAGGGCGGGCAATACGCTCGCTCCTCCGAGCCCGACCAGCAGGGGACGGCAGGGTGGCACTGGACCAGGTTTTCCCTGGAGCCGTCGTCGATCTTCTTGGGCGCATGATGGGCAGGAAGCGTATCGGGGGTAACTCGGAGCTGCCTCCGGGCCGTCTTGGGAATCTCGTGCAAACGTTTAGGGACCGTTGAGGGACCGTTTAAGTTTCAGGGCCATCCCGCTTGAGTTTTCTGGCACTGACCGCGATGAGGCCGTCGCCAGAAAATTGAAGATCGAGGATCGAGGGAGGGCGAGACGGGGGGGTCCGTTGTCTCTCGCTGCCTCCGTTGTCTCTCGCTGGCTGCCAGCCGCTGGGGGCGCGGTGCTGATCCGGCAGCCGATGGAAGCGGAAAATCGGCGGGCATCGTGAAGTCGATGGCGGACGCTCGGGCTTCGGCGAGCCAGGCGCGACTCTTCCTCGGACCCCCGCTGGTGGCCACGCGCGCGGAGGGATGCGTCGGCCGCAGCCCGCTGGGGGTCGGCCGCCGCTCGCCCAAAGCAGAACGATTAGACTGGAGGAGCCCTGGGACACACAAACAAATAGACACAAGTACCACGATCCCCCATCCATATTTTCATATACTTTCTGGGTTTTCGCCTTCCCCCCCAATTCCCATATTTTCCCATGTTTTCCTGGGGGTCGACGGTTCATTGAGTCTGTGTGTTTTTCCCCCTCCTGATGGACGCCCAGTCGCATGGTGTGCGCCGAATTGCAGACAGCAGCCGGCCCCAAGGGCGAGCAATTTCAGGGGTGCCCCTGCGTGGGGGCTCACAGCAGGCACGTCGCCCATGCTCGACCCAGAGGCGGACTACTCCATCCAGCATCGATGACTACACTCGAGGAGCCCAAAGCAAGAAACGAGGTCCCTTATCCCCCATACGAGAAACATCCAAGCACCATACAAGACAGAAGGAGCACACAAGAACAGCTGTCAAACAATTAAGGAGCACCCAGCCCCTCCCCAGCGAGAAGGGTTCCTTCTTCAGCGACCCTACTGTGTGCAGACATTCGACGTCGCAGAAACAAGACGTCGTGAAAAATCGTGCCAAGGTCCCTCGACCCCACCCTGGTGCAAAGCTCCCCTTGACGGATCGACCTGCGAGGGTCGGGTCCAGGGTCCCGAGGCAAGGCGAACTGGCCAGACGTGCCCCTCCCCCCCTCCTCTTCCTCTTCCTCCTCCTCCTCTCCTCCTCCGCCCTCCTCCTCCTCCTTCTCCGCCCTCCTCCTCCGCCCTCCTCCTCCTCCTCCTCCTCCGCCCTCCTTCTCCTCCTCCTCCTCCTCCTCCTCCTCCTCCTCCTCCTCCTCCTCCTCCTCCGCCTCCTCCCCTCCCCTACCGCCCCATCGTTCGTGGGTGGGGAACACATTTTGCGCCCGCGGCCTCGCGAGCTGGACTCCTGGGCCGCGCCCCGACGGAACGCCCGGGCGGCTTTGCGCGGAGGCCCCGCGCAGAACGCACGCACGGGATCGCGCCTCGGTGTCCAAGTCATGCGGCTATGGGTACCCAGGCACGCGCCAGCACGCTTTGCAACCCGCGGGGCCCAGGAACTCCCGACCGCTTCGCTGAGGGTATCCTGTTGCCCCGCAGCCATGAGGAACGGCCCGGGGGCCCCAACGCGGTCCCAGAGGACCGACATCCAGGACAACAGCGCCGTCTTCAGAACGCATCGTCGAACCTCTGGGGGCTGCGAACGCCTCCGCCGCCCGTGCAGTGCTCTGCGGAGGGGCGGAGTGCCCGCGAACGCGCGCGCGCACGCGGGCCTGCTCCTCCCGCGCCTGCGACCCCGCCTGCTCCAGCTGCGCCCCCGCTCGCGCGAGCTCGTCCTCGCCAAGGGGGGGGGAGGAGGGGGGGAAGGACGTGCCGAGCATCGCCTCGCCGATCCCCATCACCTCCGGCACTGCCTCGGGGGTCACTGGCCTGCTGGCCCCCCCCCCCCCAGGTGGGGGCATGTTAGTAGAGGGCCGAATATCCACCCCGATAATAACCACCCCGACACACGAAGGCGTTTAATAAACGCACCTGAAGAAGAAATCAAGCAGGGCAGGGTTGCTTAGTAAACGCACAGGGCCGTTCAGTAAACGCCAATTGTCCGGTCCTGGTGTTTTTTCCTCCCTTGACATGTGCGGCCTCCTTCGGGCTTTGCGGGGCCCATCCCCGCCCTGGCTTTCGGGCCCGGTGGGGTAAAACTGCGCAAGAACCGCATGCCGTGTCCAGGCAGACGGCGCGCACACCTCGCCGCTCTCCTCGTCGTCGTAGGTCGTGACGTCCGCGCGCAAATCTCAAAGGGAAGTGAGGCAGCATGGCCTGGGGGGATGGGGATGCGGGCAGGCGGTGCGGGCGGGCGGGCATCGCGTGCGGGCGCTGCGCGGGGGGGCGCCCCACCTACGATGGCCAGCAGCGGCGGGAGCTCTGGCCTGCCGTGGGTCCGCCGTCGGGTGCTGCCAGAAGTGATGTCCTGGCCCTCCGGCGTCCCCATCGTGTCGAGCCGCTTCGGGGCCCCTGGAGCCCTCTTGGCCTAGAGAGAGGCACTCGGGAGGCCATCCGGGCCTCCTCGGGGATCCCGGAGCCGCCCTGGGCCGGGGGCCCTCCTCGCGACCCCGGGCGCGATGTCTTCTGCATGGGGTCGGCGCCGCGTCCGCCGTGGCGGTGCCTCCAGTGCCGCCCCTGGTGCGCTGGCGTCGCCCCCCCGGATTGGGGGAGGCCCAGCGCCGACCCTTGAGACACCCGCGCGGACCTCCGGCAGCGCACGTGCACGTCGTGGTCGCCTTCGGCTACTCCGCATCGGCGGCGGCCCTGGCGGAATCCCGGGCCCGGGCCTGCCTTTTCCCGGACCCCCCCTCGTTGTGCTCCTCCCCGTCCGGAGCGTCCTCCCGTCCGCTCGGTCGACTCGGAAGGAGAAGGGGGAGGGAGGGAGTGAGGCGAGGAGGGAGTGAGACCGAGCGGCGGCAGACGAGGTCCCGCGGACTGCACGAGAAGGTCGCGAGCAAATGCTCTCACCCCTCCCGCCCCTCCTTGCTCCTGCTGGCCGCAGTCATGGCTGAGCCGCCGGCATGCGCCAGCACAGGGCGAGGAGGAACAGCAGGAAGGATTGAGTTTTTGATCCTGCTCAGGATTGAGTTTTTGATCCTGCTCCTCCTGACTCAGGAGGAGCAGGAGGAGGGATTGAGTTTTTGGATCCCGCTCCTCCTAACTCAGGAGTCTTGAGCATGTAAGTCTTGTGTTGTCCAAGACTGGGAGAGCAAAACATATCGAGGCAGGCGTGACCCCGAGAGATGAGCCGCGGAGAAGCTCCGGGAGCGCTGCCTGGGCTCTGCGCGCGGGCCCAGGGGAGGAACTGCGCGGGAGCTGCCCGGGAGCCGCGGAGGAGCCCAGGAAGCAGCGGGGGGCTGCGTGCGAGCCGCGAGCGAGGCCAGGAAACGCTGCCGAGGAGCTGCGCGCGAGCATGCAGTCGGGGCGCTGACCTAAGGAACCTTACATAAGGAACGAGGCCCCTTGTTTCCATAAGGAAAATCTCTGCGTGCGGCTACGCCCAGAATGCGCGGGTCGGCGCCCCCGCGCCCGCGATGGGCGGAGAGACAACTGGCGCCGCCAGGCAGGGCCCAACTGGACTTCTCCAAGGGCCCAGCCTGGCAGGGACGCCGAACCCGCCCCAGCGCCAGAAAACAACCGGGTGGCAGTGGGTGGGTTACAAAGCAGCCTGCGCCGCGCAAGCCGCCGCGTGGGAACGAGAACCCAGGAGCGGCAGCGGCCACGGGAGCCGGCGGCGACGAGGAGGGTCCGTGGCGACGAGGGGCCGTTGCGACCAGGAGCACCAGCAGCACCCTGAGCGCCAGAATGCACGGACAGGAGCCAGGAAGGCGACGAGGAGGGGCAGTGGCGACGAGGAGCACGAGCCGCACCCCGAGCGCCCAAGAGCACGGGCAGGCGCGCCAACGCCCGACGACCTGCACAGGGGCAGCACCGCCACCGCCCGAAGGCGCGGTTATCCTCGCGCACTCGCGCCAGGGGGAAGGAGACCAGCAAGTGGCGTAGCGTCCCCGCGCCCAAATCCACCAGCCGCACGCGGCCATCGGCTGTAAGCACAACGATCCGCCGCGCCACGGGGGCACTGCCAGGCAGTGAATCAGCGCGCTGCCACAGAAGCCACCGAGGCTAGGAAGCGAGGAGACCACTCGAGTCCTCCTGGAGATTTTCCTGCCCCCCCAAACCGCTGCACGATTTAGGGGCGATGAAAATCTCTGCGTGCGGCTGCGCCCAGAATGCGCGGGTCGGCGTCCCCGCGCCCGCGTTGGGCGGAGAGACAACCGGCGCCGCCAGGCAGGGCCCGACTGGACTTCTCCAAGGGCCCACTGCATCCAGGAGGGCACAGGCTGGCGGCCCCGAGCCGACAGGCATAGTCCTGAGGGCGGAGGCACGCCTCGGAACCGCTGTTTTACAGGCGCGCGCCCACTGCATGCGAGCGTGCCTGGCGGCCCTCGTCCCCGCTGGACTGAGACTGCTCCGCCAGCCACTGTGCAGCGGCCATTTCTCCACGCGACTGCGCCGTTGCATGCCCGAAGGCAGCGAGCCCCCGCCATCCACCAGACCAAAACAAAGCGATTGCACCGCCTGCTCGGAGAGCGTCATCAGCAAACCCACGGCGAAAAGCACGCGTGCCCCAGTTCTCCGAATCCGGGAATCCAAGCGCCAAGGCGCCAGCTTTGAGGTGCGCCAGCGCTTCAGGACATGCCGCGTGACCAAATGGCGCAGACTCAGCGGCGGCAGCTTCTTTCAAGCCGCACACCCCGCAAAGGAGCTGCTTCGCATCTGAGCGCGCGCGCTTTCTCACAACCTCCACGGGAGCGCGGTGGCACTTTCTCTGGACGAAGGTAATGGCGCATCGAAAATCTGGTCCAGTCCCAAAGAAGCGAAAGGGTGCCTTGCTCGAGCCCAGGAGCAGCGTCTCAGACGAATGCCGCAGACAGAAATGGCGGGAAACTATCCACGATAGACCAATATCGTGACGCCCGGCCTGCGAAACCCACTCTACCAAAGCGCGAGTCTGCGACGCAGACGCCCAAACTTTGGGCCGCTAGTGGCCCATCCCAGCTTTCTCCGCGCCACGCACATGCTTCGACGTGTCTTCGAGCTCGCCGGCCGGAGCCCGCAGCAGATGAAGCACTGACCGCGAATGCGACGAGTGGCGCCCGAGCGAAGCGCTGCTGCGAAACAGCGCGCAAAACGCGCACAGTGTAGAGTACTTGGGCGGCCGTGGCGCCTCGCCGCTGACAGCGGCAGCTTCGCCCCGGGGTTCCACCGCGCCGGCGTGCTGCACCGCGCTCCGGCGCCGCCCGCAGGACTCGAGCCAGACGGCGCGAACCTCGAATCCTGCGATATCTGTGGCAGCGGCGCGTGCTCGCTTCGCAGCGGCGCGTGGTAGTACCCTGGCGTCCTCGAATGGCGACTCCGGCAACCTTGCCAAATCCCTGATCGCGCCGGCCAGCACTCTGGGCTCGATCACTTGCTGCCGGCGCCGCGCGTCCGCAAACGGCGCCAGAGCGGCCGCCCCCCTCTGCGCGGCCCCTGCACCAGGCCTGCGTTCTAATCCGAGCGCCCGCGGACTGCCGCCCGCCGCCTGGCTCGCCGGGGCGCCGCTTGCAGCTGCAGAGGGCGCCGAACGCTGACTCCGCTGTTTTCTGCCTCGCGCAGCTGCAGAAACCTCTGGGGGGATTGGTGCGCGCGCCCCTCGAGAGGAGCCCAAATTTGCTGAGCTTCAGCCAGGCCGAGGCCGCAGAAGTCCTCGGCCTGGACAGCACCGGCCGTTGCCAAATCGGAACACAAAGACTCGACTACAGGCCCTGGCGGTGCCACCGCAGCCACTTGCCGCGCAATGCTGGCCAAGGCCTCGGCGGGCGGCGCTTTCGCAGCCAGCTGCGGCGCAGCCTCCACGATCGGCGCGGCCAGCGAAAGCGCATCTGCACAAGTGGACGCCGCTGCGCGCGCCCGGCTTTCCTGCAGGAGATGCAACGTGAAAACGCAACGCTAGCTCTTTGCCTGAGCCAACTGCCACGGACCACTGCGTGACCAGCGCTGCGCCTTCAAGCGCCCGCTGTCTGGGGCACGGCCCGGCCCTTGGCCTCCAAAAGCACATGGAACTGCAGGGCCGAAAACGTGGTTACCCGACGTAAGCGTGTCAACAACGCGAAGGACCATGATGATATAATGCGTTTTTCTCGCAGTACTAGCCCGCTCTGCAACTCAAGGCCACGGGGCGTCTGGCGGCTGGCTCCGTGGCACTTGGGTGAAGCTGGCTGATTGCATCGCTTCCAGCGTTGATGCCTTTTCGTGTGGCCTCGTAGGCGCATCGGCCAAATTCGAATGACTGGGCACGTAGAAATCGTGCAACAGAACTGCAGCGCACGCGGCGCGCAGCCAGAAGTCCCCAATTAGGTCATTCCAATCAGATTGCCTAGAGGAGCCGCGCAAAAGAGCGCCGAGGGCCGTCTGATTGTCAACAAACAACAGAACCTCTAGACGATCCCCGGCCTCTTGGCTGAGCAGCCAGTGGAGCGCGCAAATGGCCGCCATTGGCTCCCAGGTTGCCACCTGGTTTTTCCGGCGGCGCGCCCAATGCCACACCGCGCGGGGCGCAGCGGAGGCAGACCAGACGCGCCGCTCTGGCAAACAGATGGCCCATGCCAAACTGCCTTTGCCCGTGGCGTCAGAATATACAATGCACTGGCGCCGATTGGCGGGCTCCGCGCAAAACGCTGCGCGCTGCGGCGCAGAGTGGAGAGAACGCAGCCACCAACGGAGGGGGCGTGCCAAACGGCCGGACAACGCT